CTGCTGACTTCACCAGGAATAACAGCACCCTTTCCCCTCCCAAAACTTGTAAACATCCAGCATATGTTGCTTCATATGTGCCAGCTTCCCTTTTCCCTCAGAGTGTGCAATTGATTCATATAATGGAGCTGAATTCTGAACACCTCAACCTGTAGTTAGCTGAAAGTTTGCTGCTTGTGTTTCACATCTAACAAAGGGACTGTGTCCCCAAAGGCCTGTTTCTTCCCCACCTATTTTGTGGCTCTAATACGAGATATTATCTCTCCCTATTACAACCTTGCAAAAAGGAAAAAAGCACAATGGAGGTACAATTATATTTTCTTTTCTCAGTTGCTAGAAGTGTAGTTCAATATGGGAACCTGATTATTACACATTTTGGAAGTTCATTTTCAGTTATTGTTTTTGAGATTTACCAAAGACACAGTCAAATTAACCCACCCATCAAACAAGTGGGAGCATTGCCCGGCCAGCCTGCTCTGCAGCCACAGAGCACTGTTCCTCCCTCCCTTCCAGGCAGGCAGCTCCCAGGCTCCAGGCTACCTTGGCCACTTACATCAGCGACTGGTATCTCGCTCCAAAGCGACAGAACCAGTCACCAGGTTGGTGCAAAGAGACAACAAACCAAAAGGGTTTCATCGAAGCTGGGACCATTCATTACAAATATCTGTCCAGTTGGCAACTGCAAAGGCAGCAACTGCCTGTGGATACAAAGAGCAGGAAGACCAGAGGAGAGCACAAAGTGCTGTACAAAACATCTCAAGGATGTTAAGAAAGCATGGAAAGAGAGATTTAAGAACAAACACTTGCCAAATCAGAGTAACCTCCCCTAAGGGCTTGTGGTCAATACAGAGTGCATTTAAAGCAGACAAACCAAGACACCAGAGTAATGGAATGCAGAGCCCTTGAGGAAAGGGAGGAAACAGCACTGAGCTGTTTCTGAGAAGACTAGGGCTTCTGACAGCTGATTCCTGTGGGAAGTTCACAATTGTCTGGAAACACCTCATCACATACTTTCTTCCCAGAACATGCTGCGCTTTGTGCACGCACCATTTTAGTACAAGTCCTTGGGTGTCAGATGTCATGTTACTTCTGGGGACACTGGACATCCCGATGAGAGAGAGAGGGCAAAGTCACTGTACCATAAGCTTTGGCTAAACAACTGGAAAACTATTTGTACAGGTGTTTTCTGTAGGCAAGGCTCTCTTGAGATTTATTTCGAACTATAAAAGACTAACAATGTTATCTTGTTAGACACGCATACAAATTCCTGAAGGAGTCTTAATAGCTGAGAAGGGAACAAGTGAGTGGTGGGACTAAGTCCCCGTGCAGCTCTGAACAAGCACCACAAGTTTTCTTACAGCCTATCTGTGGGAAACAGGGAGAAAGAAGTGAATGTCACCAGTGAAAATACATAAGATTTCCAATTATAACAAAACAGAGGATCTAGTTGTGTCAGATGTGGAAGTCTGACCTTTTGTCTCATGCTGGCTATCTTCTTCAAGACCTGGGTGACTACTGTGCAACAATTCTATTTCTTGTTACCAAACTGTTAATCTTCTTTTACATCAGGCTAACCTGTGTCTCAGCAGTAAATACAAAAAGCTTTAACAGAATGTGAGGAATAAGATACCTCAGTATTAGAGGTATGAAATGGGAGGAATTTTGCTGTGGCTTTGAGTCCTCCTCCACAACAGATCATTGCAATAAATCACAGTAAACAGCATAAGCATCCAACACAGTTTTTAAACAGTTGAGGCTACATCCCTGTAACGCAAGCCTAGGCAGAGCAGAACTTCTCAGTTCACAGCCTGGGTTCAGGCTGTCAAAAGCTGCAGTGACCTTACACTCCTCGCTCAGGAGGTATCAAACTGGAGCAGCAAAGGCTTCAAAGTGTAAACCACAGATGCTCCCAAACAGCGTGTCAGCTCCAGCCCAGGAGGATGGAAGGGACCAGGGATCTAGAGGTCAACTGAGTACAGAATGAGGAGATGCTGCAGAAGAGCTAGGGAAAAAAATAAGGCGTCCAAAGTAGCCATGTGACAATATTCAAACTCCCCCAATAATTCTGGTCTCCTCACAAACTTAGGAATCCTCCTGGGTTTTCCACATCTGCTTCTACAGCAGAAAGAGGAATCAGCTTCAGAAACAGACTTGAGGAAGCTGGCAAGGTTGGAGAAGATGTGGAGAAAGAGTTATCTGAAAAAGCTGTTTGTTTCTAAGCGACCATTTTGCTTAGTCCACCTGCACACCCTCCGGAAGTTCTACCACCACAGGAGCGCAGTCATCAGGCTCTGCCTCAAAGTCCCATTTAAATTTCTTCGTTAGGTGAGCCTTGAATTTTTCAGCCTTATTCCTTAAGGTCCCATCCACAGCAGCACTGCACGTGCAGGAAAAAAAGACCTAAAAAGAACAGAGTAGAGGTTAGTAAGAACTCAGCCAGGGCACAAGCTGTGCATCTCTTTCCTACAAAGACGTCATCAACAGGGTGCACCAGGAAAAATTTCAGGTTAGGCCACTGGTAAGGTATGTAACCACCCTGGAAACCACTCCAGCTTTGGGGCTACCTAAACAAAGCCTACACTTCTCTCATCCCACAGCCAAGACAGACATCCTGCCTTCACTCCACTGAGTCAGCGACACAAATATTTGCGCTAAGGTTAGTAACTTTGCTTCAAGCAGGAGTATGTATGTAATTAAAGATGTACTATGGAGTTCCGAAATTATCGTGTGTGAGCAAAGAAAAATATCTGAGCAGAAGGAAAAAAAAAAACACAAACCACTATCAGTTTTCATTTGCCACATAGCCAATTTTATAGCATGTGTCAAAAAGGCCAACAGGTAATTATACCCATATATTTCATGGTTGGGTGGACCAGGAGATCCCCCAAAATATTTTTGTAATACGGTATCACCAACACCTTAGGATACAGAGGAAACTTAACAAAATTACCTTGAAGGTCAGAGAAGAATGGGAGCTCTATGGAAAACATCCAGTTATCCCCAGCACAGCCATTCCCTTGAGGCACAGGGCACTGAAATCTGGACTAACCTCCAAGGATAGCCCCCTTCCATCATCCAAACACACACAAATCTATCCACTTTTCACAAATTCACAGCTTCTGTTCACACTTTGAGAGCTAAAGCACCTGTGTATGATTAAACATTAAAGCCTCAGAGCCCATCTCTCATCAGCCTGCTTCTGCTCCTCTTCTGACCTTGTGATCCAGAACTCATTTCCATAGAATGAAACTTACATTTTGAAGCCAAAGGGGAAAAAAAAAAAATCATTGCATGATGGAATTGAAGGGAAAGCCCTCTGGGGAAAAAGCAGGCTCTTATTTGGGAGAGATTTACTGACAACTGGATAAAACACTGACAATGAGTAGCAAAGTTCCTCGCTTTGTTTATGATCATTTCCCTTTTCCTTGTTCAGTCTACTGTGAAACTGCCTCTTTATAACAGAACTCCCTTACACAGCAAGGCTGCTATTAAAAAAAAAAAAAAGATTAAAAGATTATACTTCCCACTTCTCCTCAATGATTTGAATATTAAATTAGTTATTTCATCATTTTTTTTCTTTAAACATTGTTAGGGCTGCATAGTCAGTGAAGGTTATGCTGTACTCTTCTTGCTTTAGATCAACCTCTATTTTTTTTATTTGATTACAGAAATAAAGTTGCTGTATTCAAAGCTGAGCAAAAGCTAACACAGATAATACACTCCCCCCCACACACACACCATTTTGCACTTCTTCTGATCCACCTGCCCACATCCAGTTAAGACTCTTAACTCTGACGGCTGTGTACATAAAGTGACTGGGTAAGGCAAGTCCCAGAAGTTCCCTGGCATTATTTCAGCACATCAGGGAAATCCCACAGGAGCAGAGAAACGGAGCACTTTTAGCAAGGAGAGGCTCAGTTCAACCATAAGGCAAATTTCTTCTTTGTTACTAGAATGTGGTGACTCCTGCTAGAGCTTAACAGTGATCATTGAAGGCAGCACAGCCACCTAAAGGCATCAGCTTAGAGTGAAAAACAGAGACTGATGAAATCCAAGGGCATACAAGACTGCTGTAAATTGACAGTGCAAAGTGTCGCTCTGTGAGCATGCTGCAAACAGAGCAAGGTTTTCCAGTCTTGTAATGGGATGGAAAAAACACACCAAGAAAAATAAAAGAAAAATTTTAAAAAGAGACTTTTATGAATCCGAATTACAAAAAAGTGAAGAAACGTCACTTGATTAAAGCAAATGCTTCCCATGACGTTTTACCCAGCAAGTTAAAAACAAACACCTCCTCCCTCCCCAAATTTACAGCAAGAACTTGGGGTTACAAGTAGAGAAATGCAACCACCCTCCAAGAAAGGAGAAAGCATTACCAATTTGCATCAAGCACCTGCAACATAACTTACTACCGTTTCTGCTGGGATTAAGTTTCCATTGCTGAGTTTCACCAGTGTATCTGGTTTTGGCTTTTTTTTTTTCCACCGAGTTTTGACTAGTTTGTTTGCTGAGCTGTTAGCACTGTTACAATCAGTGGGAGTAACTGGTTTTACCAGTGCTGAATTACAGATTTACCCATGCCTGTCTCAGTAGAAGCAGTGTTTTCTGCATTTTGGATTAACCATAAATTCCCTCTGGGTAAGAACTTTATTATAGGAAATCTTCAGCTTTGCTTAACGCTAACAGGAGTGGAAAAGCTTCTTAAATACTATCACGGCCCTAAGCTTAATAAGGTTTCACTGCAACTTCTCTGCATAGTAAGCATACCATTCAAGCCTAGCAAAAATGAGCATCATCAGTCTTTCATGCCAAAGTTTTGGGTTTGTTTAAAAAAAGAATGAATGGCATTTGGGGGAAAAAAATAAGCAAACAGGCATCGTCTTGCACTTGCTCAGCCTCTGTCATAGCTGTTCAACTTAATGTAGTTGAAGGACTTAGAATTTTTTAGAAAAAATATGCTGGTGCAGTCCCATCACATTAGATGCGCCACTCCAGAACTCTAAAACCGTGCCAGTGTAGCAGGCTACCTTCAGCAATATTTACAAGGAAAACATAATAAAAAAGACACGGTCCCATTCTCTGTTGCAGCCATCTTCAGTAGCCTTTCCTCTTGTTGCCTCACTCTGCTGGCCTCTCTGCATGTGGACTAGTTCAATTTTATACTGCATTAGACTCTTCTAGGCATAGCTTGAGCAGATCAAACTCTGAGATGACAAGCAAATGGCATTTATTTGTAAATAACACAGGGAAAATGTAAAAAAATGGGTTTTTTATACACTCACTATCTCCCATGCAGCTCAACAATAGCTTAATTCTTTTTACAGCTTCTCCCCAAATTAGCTCTGATGCCCTGCATGCTCTCTCCTCCCACTCCCATTTTTCAAGAGACAGGCGCAAACATACCTGTAAGGTGCTGGTTAAAAAGTTGTCCTGGGAGATGATGTCCACAAAAAAATCAGCTGGAATTTCACTGAGCTGGTGATACAGCACAGAAATGAGATTGACGTAAAGGTCTTGATACTTCCCTATGGCATCTTCAGATCGGCACAGGATGTTTAAGAGTGTTTTCCAGTGCTCAAATGCATCATACACATTCCCGACCAGAAAGCAGATGAAAGCAAACTGCAACTCAGCTGTGCATATTCATCAAAGGAAAACAAAACAAAACAAAACACACATAAGACTAAAAATATAGTCAGGGTATGTGTCCTTTCAAAAACTCTGTAAACGATTGCCTAAAACTCTGGGTTTGCCCTCTGCACATGCATTCTGCCCTTCCGGCGATTCTGCTAATAGCAATCAGTACTCCAAACACTGACTATTTCCTAATGCGCTGTTCTTCAGCTGGAGAAAAAGCAAAGCATAATCCGGCAGGTCCACCTGTAGCTGTAATTATCTTTGGAGAGTGACTTTACTGGCAATCGGAGCACACAGCCACCTAAGGACTTCCAGTGTCATCCATGTTCTCAAAATGATGCTCAAGAAGGCAGATTGTTATCCTGCAAGCATTCACTTTGCCTGTGCCCGAGTTTCCAGAGCCACACAGGAGTGCAAATGCTACTGCCCTTGAACACAAGGGCTGTGGGAATGCTGGGAGAGGTGAGCAGTACATTAACAGATGCCTTTCCCTCGTTGAATCAAGAGCCAGGGTTCACCTCACTGGACCCTTAGCATCAGCTATTTTGCCAGAATGATGGCGTCACCATTTCCTAAGGTAATTTGTTCTTTGTATCCTAGAGTTGTCTTTGATAATTTTGATTAAAAATAAATTGTATAACGTTAATATAGAAAAAATGGAAAAAGGGAAAAACAAAGGTTGATTCCAAACCTCAGCAGCCTTGAGGCTCCAGCTCAGCTGGGTTCCCAAGCCCTCCCTCCATCCTGCCACAAAACAAAACGATGTGTCAGGACCTCCACAGATTTGGTATTTATTCCTATCATAAGTTGTCCAAAAAGGCTGGCAATTAATTAAGACCCTGCGACCGGGAGCCAGGCCCTCGCTGCGGATGTCTCCTGCAGCAGGGCTGGCAAACCCCAAATGCTGCCACAGAGAGTCGCCAGCAGCACAGAGCAGAGCTGCCACCGCCCCAGCCGGGGGGGACGGCCCG